CATTAATAAATTTTGAACATTACTACTGTGAGACTCACTGGTGGCTGCAGTCCAGCGCCAATATGTGACACCTACTGGTGTGGTTGCTGTGCCAATATGACACTGCGCTGTCGGTCCGTGGTCAACTCCCAGTTGCGGTGTGAAGCTGTAAGGTTTCTTCCACCAGTATTTTGAGGTTGACTCCTTGTTGCTGCCACCAGCCTCTGTCCCAGTTGATCTGGTCGTTTCCGGTTTGATACCAGCTTTGTCGTTCTCAGCTCGCCTCCAACGTTTGGTCACCGAAGTAACTGCTTTGATCTCAAATCTAACCTATCCACATTGTGACTTTGATCTTAGGTAGATGAAATCAATCAGGCGTTGGGCCATAGTGCAAGCTGAATCCTGAGTAAAGGTGATACCGCACAAGTGTAAGTAAAAAAAAAAATAATAAAACAATCTCACGAGGCTCAAATATGTTGAGAAATAACAATTATTTTTATCTATCTGTTGAATACAGGAATGTGTTTCTCTCCCAGCCCATTTCTATGGATTTGTGACACTTTTTGCATTTCTTAAGTGAGTTATGGTATCTTAAGTCGTTCATCAATAAAAACTTGCTCTTGGTAGGAAGATTAAGTTGAGAGGACATGGAAATCTTTTGGTCAGCGAGGCTGGTCTCCAACTTCTCGAACTAACTCCAAACTTGAACTGTCTGGAACTGACTGCAACTCCGAACTCACTAACTGCCTCAAGACGTTCATTTATATGGACACCGACCCAAAATCTAGTGTGGGGGCCTGACGTGGTTTGGGTTCCTTGAGAATTCTCAATTCCCAACAAGAATTCTCTTTGTTCTTAGGCCAGGAAAATTAATTACTTCCCATTTTTGGAAGATCAATCACTTTCCTTTTCAGGGGTCTCTCCCTCATCTGTGAGGGAAGGTCGGAGGTGAGTTATCCCCCTAGACTCCTCCTCTCTCACATTGGTATCTCATACCAATCCCCTCAGTGGGTGTTAACAACTTCTCCGTCTTTTTCATACATTCACCTCTGCCTATCACCCATGCTACCAGTTGGCCAATGATCTCTCGGCAGTGTGGGTGTGGCTAGACTGGCCCTCTTAGAATTACTATCCAGAATTTTGTTTACAAAATCCTTTTTTCCTTTTTTTTTTTTCTTTTCCTTCGGCCAAAACATTTACAAATCCCAGATTGCCAAATAATTCTTATCACATCGTAATTTTGGGGACACCCAAATCCACTTAGCCCGGACCTCTACCGACTCATTAATCATTGTCAAAAACCCGACACCTGGCTTCTCCACTAGTCAACTTTTAACTGGGTGGTCGAATTCTTTATTTTTCTCATGCCTTAAAATTCTCTTATCACCAGATGCTCATTTTCGAGACGCTATGTCTGACGTCAACAGTTTGAATAAGCAATAATAATGATTCCCTTTTTGATTTTCCTTCTCATGCCAAGATTCGTGCATATACCAGATGGCTTTCTTTGCTGGAACCAAGAATTAAAATTAAATGATATCTCTGAAAGATAATTAATATCTATACTCCGTGGTGGTCTCAAGCTGAAATTTTTTTATGGTCGCATGCATTGGTTGGCTTTATTTTTCTTTCAGAATTCTGTTTCGTTTGGCGCATCACTCCCTTATCGTAACATTAATTGATTTTGACAGAATCACAGTCTCGCTTTTTCTTATGGAATTTCTGTCTTTTGCGAAAAGTATCTTTTTTTTTTTTTGTAAATAAAATAAATTCTTTTTAATGTCACTCAGTCTATCTTTCGATATAGCTCTTTCTTGCCTTAAGTATTTCCTGTTTTTAATTTCTATGGTTAATTAGTTAGCCAATTACAATAGCTAAATAGTGTCACACTACTTGTATACAAAATCATGTAAGAGGTACATGTAGGCATTATCCAAAAAAGATGTATGGGCCACTGAAGTTAAAGGTTCAATTATTCATAGATCAGAATAGCATATTTTTGAAAAATATATTTTGCGAAGTAACTTCCAACTGTGTAAAATGTTGTTAATCCTATTTCTTGTTCCTTAAGGGTCAAAGGAGTTTAAAGAAAGAAGAAATAGTTGTGAATAACCAGTTAAATAGAGATAAGAAAAAGATATGTATATTCCAGTAACAAATTTGTGACTTTCTCAGCATGGTTAAATAAATTTGATATAGTTTATTAGTTCAGTTTAGTTCTAACTACTGTTAATTATTTGATAGCATGTAATAACTTTCCTTTTTCTTAAATAAATGACTAAAATATATATTTAAGTTTTATACAAAATTGAGGTATCTGTAGTCTGTTAATTCAGACACTGTAGACTACAATTACTTTCACGTACACATATTTATGAACAATAATTAACTGTCATATAACAGTTTTTAATATTTTCATTTTTCTTTTTAACTTGCATTAGATAAAAATAGGTTTCTTCTTTTTGTTATAAGGAAGCTAATAGCATATAACACTAAACAGTGTATGACTTTTTTAGTTGCTTTTCCAAAATGAAGGATTTGTGTGAAAATCCTTCAAAATATTTGAGCTAGTATTTTGTGTGTAATTCAATATTTAATAAAAAATATTCAATTTTTGAAAGAAATTCTGAGGCGATATTGAATAGTGGCTTATAGAGCACAAAATGAATTATTACTAATTGTACCAAAGGTTGGTTTAAACTAGGTAATTCATTGTATATGGTAAACTTCAGAAAGAATCTTTTAGTCATAAGCTGCCACTAAAAAAATGAGTATTTGGAGTAAATATTGTTTCCAGTTAGACTAATTAAAGACAGCAATTGATGAAAGGTGGTTTGGAATTAGTTAAAATTAGGATAACATTAGACCACATCTTTGTTTAATAAATAAGTAAAAATTAATTAAATTGACTGGAAACTTTTGATGATTCCACTGTATTCAGAAGATATACATTTATTCCAGTCTTCCTAGAATTAATAAAAAAAACAAAAAAAACTCTTCACTGGAAGACTGTAAAAATTGCAATTCTTTACTGAGAAAGATAAAAAAAATTCTGTGTGGGTGGAATTATGAAGTTGCCTGAAAATTTGTAAAAGCAATGTTCAGGTTGAGGACTAGTTCCACCCAAATCTATTCCCATCATCCATTCCCTATCACCATTTGGCTTTGCAAGTGTTAGTTGAAGGTGAAAGAAAATCAGTGAAGAAAATGTCAATGGCATGAATTTGTTTAAGGTGACCTCAATTTGCCAGGAAGTGACCCACACACTTGATTACATGACCTTCCTCTGTGGCACATACGGAATGAGACATGCAGAATCCAGTTACAAAACTGCAACAGATTTTTGCTGACTCTCTTATAATTTTGAGTGGCACCTTCAGTAGCATGTCTGTCATGCATAGCTCTCTTCATTCACTGGCTCAACTATTGAGATCTGTTGTAATTGTTATCAGCTTGTTCCACTATTGGGGTCTTTGGTGTTGGCTGTGCTTAGTCTGGATCCTCATATTTGACCTTGCTGTCAAAGGCAGTCCTGCCAGGAGTTTAGAACTCCCAAAAGCATCACTCAGAGTCAGTGGACCACACAAGCCTCTCCACCACCTTGTAATATATGAGTAAATAAAAAAGAAAAAAGCAAATATAAAAACCAACAGTTTAACCAATATGTATTACTTTTAGATTTTGTCAGGTTACCACTTCCTAATTTTAGAAACCACTACTAGGGGATGCTCTCTGGACTATAAATACATTGTGATATTTTTCTCATTCTCTTCTTACCTTATCTGCCGACATATAACCTCTCGCAGAGAACACGCTTCCCTTTGGGAAATGCATGAGTAATATATACACACATTTGTCAATTAATTAATCATTTTCTGCTATTTTTTTTAACCAAGTAATCAGTTTTCATTCTTGTTTATCACAGAACTTTCATTAGTTTTTCAGCCATTCTTCATTGAGATTAATTAAATAAAAAAATAAAAACAACACCAGCACCACCAATTAAAAAAAACTGCTGCCGCTTCTTTTACCTTTATTTTTTTTATTGGTTCATTATTTTTGGTTCAAGTTTAACTATGAGTTTTTCTCACTATTCACATACTCGAGAGTCAGATAAGAAATGGTATCACAAATATCATTTGGTCACTAAACTACTAGTGTCTTTCCTTTTGATACCCTCATAGGTGTGGCAGAAGAGAATAGCAGGTGAGGCAGAATGATTGAAAGGCAATCAAAGATTTAGAATCAGTTTCAAAAAATTCATATACCAAAAATAAATATTACTTTAAATTTTAAAATATTATTATAGATTACTTGTAATTGCATGCATGAGTCCCAATATAAATAGTTATAAATAATTATTGACTGTTTTTTTTTATTGTGATATTTTTGCATTATATCAAGTATTAAGAATATAATAATTAGGCTCTGCAAATTGGAGGAGAGATTTATTAATTATAATGTTCTGACTTCGAATCCTCGGTTATCTCCCTTTAAGCTCTCTGTTTATATCACAAAATTTGAAGCACAAAGCACATTTTAATTCCGAAAATACGACCAAAAAGAGAAGATTTTGGGAACCACTGAATTAAAGAATAAGCTCAACATTAGTAGATAATCTTCTATCTACATACCTAAAACAAATTATACTGATTATACATTCTATATTAGATCTAATGTTTCACATTCATTATATCACTATTATCTCTTTTCATTCAAAATTAAAATAAATTTCGTTGGTGGTTGTGAAAAGTGAAATTTCTGGTTAACTGTCACCAAAATTACTCAGGGGAAACAACTCTACTTTTTAATTTAAAAAATGTTTAAAGGAAAATTATTTAATAATTTCTTATCCAAAATGGTTTGTTAAGAACTTTAGAATTTGTTCTGAATTGAAACTTCACTATTTTATTGAAAATGCAGTTGAAATGTATTTTCTATGTTTAAAAACACTCTAATCAATTTAAATTAATGTAAATTTATTTGTTTAACTATAGTTTCTGAATTGTTTCTATTTTTAGATTTGAAGAAAGAAGCCTTGATTTCCTTAAATGTGGCAATGGATATGTATGCTCAGGGGAAAAATGACAAAGCACTCAAGTTGTTCCAACATGCAATTGCACTTGATCCAAAACATGCTGATATTCTGAATGAATATGGAGAATTCATTGAAAAATATAAAAAAGATATAGTGCTTGCAAACCATCTTTATTGCCAGGTAAAAATATTGCTTTTTCACTACCTGAATAATTAATTTCTTCTTTAGAAATATTTTGCATATATTAACAGGGCTCAAAACCATTTTTTTTTACTATTATTCTGGAACTGTCTTGAAAATCTTTTGAAACTTTCCTGAAAAGCAGAATGTTTTTTTTTCTTTAAACTTTGCTATCAATTACATTTGAGTAGCATAATAAAAAACGCTATTAGAATGTTTAGGAAATAAATATTATTTTGATCATCTTTAAACTATAATCTCTGTACTATACAGCCACTATTCCAAAATTTGTTTTTAATGCAGGTTGTAACTATAGTTGGTCAGTTTGCCAATTTATCTTTTGATATCAGTTTCCGGTTTTGTTTTCCTTGATACTGTGGTTTTCGATTTGGTTTTTAATTTAGTATTTTTGCTTTCTAAGGAAGCCATTCATTTTCTTTTGTAATGATAGCATTTCCAGTTGATATCTAATTTCATTTGAGATTGATAAATTTGCAATTTAGTCTGTTCAACTTGCAATATCTTGTGTATTTCTGTTTCAATCTTAAAAATATTCATATGGCTAAAAAGGAAATAATATAATCTTTCTAAATATGTAATTTGTATGTGCCTTTATTCATTGAATTATTTTTTTACAGCGAGTTAAAACTGTATTGCTTCGACCAGCCGAAAATGCAAAAAGATTTCTTTTTTTCAAGACTAAATTTTACATGTCACTTTGTTTTGCAAAATCAAAGTGACCAATCTTTATCAATATTCCTGAAATTGTACACTCAATTAGAAGACAACTTAAACTACAACCAGGAAGATGTTCATTTCTTCTCTGACCCGAGGAAGCGATTTCCTTAAAAAATTATAAAGTAAGCAAAGAAAAAAGATGGAAATTCTTTTCTGGTACACCAGTAAACTATTATTGTGGTTTTGCAAATAAATTTCTTCTAAACAAGGAAAATCAATGAGTTATTTTTCCCTTAAATAAATTTATGTTTTTATCAAGCAAATACACCTAAAATTAAATGTTAGAAATAATTAAAAGCTTTTAATTTCATTTCAAGAATGTGCAGATTTTCAAATCTGCAAGTAGCACATGTTCTTTTTTAGATACACATTTTAAAACTGAAATTAAAAACTATTCTAATCATTTTAATATAATCTTACTTAAGTGTATTATTCACCAGATAAAACCATAAAGATATTTGTAAAAATGAATTAATTTTCCTTGTTTAGAAGAATTTTATAAGCAGAACAGTAACAAGGACCCACTGAACATTAGTGGCTAAAAAAAAAAAAAAAGAAGAATTTTCATTTTGGGTTTAATAAAATGACTTGCAGTTTTGAAAATATACACATTTTAAAACTGAGATTAAACTTACTTTATTTTTTTTATATCTAATTTTACGTGTATTTGCTAGATAGAAACATAATTTTATTTGTAGAAAACAGAGACTCTCATATCTGGAAATATACACATTTTAAAAGTGAAATTAAGAACTATTTTAATTATTCTTCATTACCCTTGCATACCCTAGATAAAAAACAAATTTATTTATATAAAAAAAATCTTCATTCATTTTTCTTGTTTACAACAACTTTATTTTGTGATTAGCATAATGGCTTATTAGGAAACCCTTACAAAAAACCCAACTTCATAAAAGTTAACATTAAGATGAAACTGGAACTATTTTTTTATTTTTACTTGCTATTTTGCTGTCAACTTAATTTTACCGTAAAAAGTTTTTCTTTTGAAAACTGAAACAAATAGATTTCACTTTCAGACATCATGTTGTATTTCCTTTTTTTTCTTCTTCATTTCTTTTGTAAACAAATAGATTTGATTTCACATTTATTTCCTAAAACTAAATTAAATGTGAATTAAATGTTTTTAACATTTTTGTTCAATCTTTCTCTCTTACAGTGGTATAAATGCTGGTAAAATTTAATTAATATCTGAAAGTCTTTTTCAATAGTGTTTCTTTGGATATAGTCACTCAGTATTGATATAAAAACGAAACTGAAGGCGTTCGGTTTTGTAAAAAATTTTGATGCAGTTTCACGGTGTGAAGATGAAACTGCAAAAAATCAGTTTTTTGGTTAAACTGCACAAAAATTAAACTAAAATATTAAATTTTTAAAAATGACTAAATACTAGAAAAAATTAATTCAATTTTACTGTAATTTTTACAAAAATCACATCTTTAAATATTTCAGTTAAATCATCTTGAATAATTTTACATGGAAATGGGTTTTATTAATTTTCATGTCCAGAGTAACTTTTATAAGCATACTTCTTGGGTAGTATATTTAAAGAAAAAAAAAAAAAAGAAGATTCCTTTCATTGAAAGATAATGTAGTCATTCCAGAGAGTTTCTTTAAGTAAAATAAGAAAATATATAATTTTGACTTTAATTACATTAAATACAATTTGTATATCTGTGAAAGAAACTCTCTGGAATGACTACATTATCTTTCAATGAAAGGAAAATATTGAATAATACAATGAATTCAGTGTAACAGAACATATAACAATGTCTTTAATATTAAATATATAAGGGTATGAATGTACATAGTTGATATTACCTTTTTCTTCAATAAAATTTAAGTTATGATTTTAGAAAAGATTTTACTACCAAGAAATATTTTTATGAATTATGTCTTAGAAATGAGATATTTTGATTTCTTTTAAATAATTTTATTCAAAACTAATAAATTCTATTACTTCATTTTCAGCAAAACCATTTTTTATGTAACTTTCCTTTCTTTTGTAGGCTGTAATTGCTAGTCCAACTCACAGCAAAGCCTTGGCTAATAGTGAACGGACATTACCACTTGTTGAGGAGATTGATCAAAACTATTTCAACCGTATTGACAAGAAACGAGATGAACTTTACAAAATACCAGCCAATCATCCAGGTTTACGACGTGCTAAAAAAGAAGCCTATTTCCTTCATATCTACCACACAAATGCCATAGAAGGAAATACATTGACCTTACAACAAACTCGTGCCATTGTGGAGACTAAGATAGCAATTGGAGGGAAAAGTTTACAGGAACAGAATGAAGTGATTGGAATTGATTCAGCTTTGAGTTTCATGAATAATACTCTTCTTGGAAAAGTTGGCCAATTAAGTATAAATGATATTCTTGAAATTCACAAACGTGTTTTAGGATATGTAGATCCAACAGAAGCTGGTAGAATACGACGGACTCAAGTATTTGTTGGTAATTTTAGACCACCACCACCAAAGCATCTGGAAAAATTAATGAAAGAATTTATATCTTGGTTGAATTCTGAAGAAGCATCAAAAATCCATCCTATTGAATATGCTGCATTAGCACATTATAAACTTGTTACTATTCACCCATTCTATGATGGCAATGGTAGAACTTCAAGATTATTAATGAATCTTATACTCATGCAAGCTGGTTTTCCACCAGTTTCCATTAAAGTTGAAGACCGATTTCGCTATTATGAAACTTTAGAACTTGCTAATGAAGGAGATATCCGTCCTTTTATACGTTTCATTGCTGAATGTGCAGAAAGAACTTTGGATGAATTCATATTAGCAGCTGTTGAAAACCCTTCAAATGAAACTTTGTCTCTGACTTCAATTCCAAATTTATACAATGATCATCAACAACTGATCATTTTGGACCAGCCTTAAACTGTCAAGCATATTTATATTAAATTTGCTGAACATTATTATTAATGCATTTCCTATAACTTATAGAGAAAATTGAATATAATTTGATAGATGTACGTTTGGAAGGATACAATAATATTTGTTTTATGGAAAAATATGATTTGTATTTATATGATATCATGTAAGCGAAGTAAGTTACTTTCTGTTGGTTGATTTGGAAGAAAGAAATCAGGATATTAGAATATAAATTTTGTAATGTCTATTTTTTTCTCAAAATGCTATTTATTTAGTTTTTATCAGTTATTTGTGATATTTTCAAAACTAGAAATCCCAGTGAATTATATGCATAATGAAAGAATTATACATTGTCATTTTTATATTTTACTTCAGGTAAGGAGAATTTTGAAATTTACTATTATAAAATAATTATAAAGGTGAAAATATAACTGGTATATTTAAAATTGAATTAAATAAAAAATTGTGAAAGCTATTGAAATATTTCCCTGGGTGTACAATATGTTATTATTGCAGTAAAAACAGTCATTAAAAATGTAACAGAGAAGCAAAAAGAGCATGGAATATGTATGTGTGTATATATATATATATATATATATATATATATATATATATATATATATATATATATATATATATATATACAGTAAATATCAAAGGTAAACAAGATTTTGGAATGATCTTTGGGCCTGAATGTTGTTTGCATTTGAGATATATATATAATCTTATCTTTGGGATTCCCCCTTATTTTAATAGTTGTGCACACCTTACTTATTCTTTGATAGAGTTCTAAAGAGTGAGGAATGATAACCTGTCTGTTTGTTTCTTTAATCTTTTTTCCTATTTATTACTTTATGGTTATCCTATATCTTTACATATTTTATACTTTTACTTTCTCCTTGTTCTCTGTTTTCCTATTACATTTTTTAATATGTCCACTCTTTGCTACAGTAACAAATATGTATTCTTATTGTAATGTGTTGCATGAAAAATATACATACTTGAAACAAAATTCAATGTGCAATTTAACCACTTGGCGCACCACCTAATGAAATACCAAATGAGAAATTTATTTTGTCTTGCAAATAGATTTAAAAATATATCCCAGTCTCAAAAGGCTAAAGCTGAAATGAAAGAAGGGATTCAGCTAACAAGAATGACATATACATTTGGTTAGTCTTTTGTACAAGAAATGTTCTTGTATGCAAACACTTTTGATAATGTGGAAATAAATGACAGATCTACATTAGGTTGATATCTTGAATATGAGATCTATACACCTAAAAGATGTTTTCTCCATCAACATATTCAAGTACAGTCATTACTAACTACATTCATATATCTTTTTCTTTTCATCATCACAAATGTGGTTGTATAAGGAAAGGATATTACACCAGGTCATAATCTATCAATCCTAATTACCAACAAAGACTAGATTTTAGCTGTAAATATGTTTACACCATCTATTGTTTATTATAACATTTTAGAATTTTTAAAATTACTATTATCGTTTGATGAGGATTTCTTTATAGAAACCAAAGTTACAATAAGGATAAGAAATCAGTAAAAAAACAAAAAAAAACGCTCCATCATCTTTAAAACAATATATTTTTTAAAACTATTAAAAAATAATAAATTTCTTTATAAATTTTCAGAATCCAATCAATGTTAAATTGTAATAATGGTTTTTCCAAATTAAATTTAGATCATTAATGTTAATTTAGAAAACATTTTCTGGTAGAAATTCAAAGTTATTTTTAAATTTTAACTGAAAAAATTTAGTTCATTTCAGCATCCATTGATAAAATGTTAATTCCTCTGATACCAGGACATGTTTGATATTATTATGTAGGCTTATGACTGCCATTTTTTATTTGCTATGTTGGTTCTAATTTTGGAAAATAGTTCAGTAATTGTTGAAATGACTAGTTATAAGATGATTGTTTTCATTCATTCTATTTAATTTGACTAACAATTTATATAGAAAACTATAAATTAGAAAATATATGTGTGCGTGTGTAATCAGACAGTGCTTTTAATTTTTATAGTAGGCTAGAATGCTAAAATTACAGAAACAGAAAAGGCTGTTCTGTTTGAGGTTTATTGCTATTGTCTACTCATGGTCAGAATTCAAAAGAAAAATGTCTTTCAGATCTTTCAGTGATAATTATGTTCAGGTTTTAAGCATAAATAATAGCTGCCAGATACTAGTAAAAAAAAAAAAAAAAAAAAACAAACTTTAAACCAGCTTCTGATAGAAACATTCTCTTTCCTTACCCACACTGTTTATTACCTTGTTTAAAAATAAGCAACTTTTGAGATTATTAAAGATATGAATTTCACCAATTTTTTTTTTGTAAAGTTGGCCAAAAATATATATAAATTCTTATTCTTAATAGAATCATTAAATATTCTTGAAGTATTCATGAAGATACATAAAAAATATATTCCTGTTAAAAATTGATAAAGAAATTTTAACACAAAAGAATCAGTATTATCAAAGTTAAACAATTCTAAATTTGCTTAACACCTAATATAACATTAATTAAAAAAAAAACATTGTCTCAATTTGTCTCCTTTGAGAAAATCTAGTTTATTGATGTATTATTAAATTTATTGTGATATATTTTGTTACATTTGGTTGATTTTTCAGTTTATACAAATACAACAAAATGTTTTTTTACATTGCTTCTTCTTGCAGGCTCTCCAGTTTGGGTAGTTTCTTATGTCCTGTCGCAATGTATAATTTTGTTGATTTTAAATCTCAAGTCCCATTATGATAAAAAAAACTTGCTCTGTGTTCAGTTCTGTTTTATCATTTATATTTGTATCCAGTTATGCATACACACATCTGTAAATTAAGAGAGGCGTATTTATATATGTTTACATGATTTTTCTACTTAATCTGTAAAAAAATGCAGTTAATTTAAATAATTTAATTGGTTTGCAGTATATGTGCTGAAGCTAGAATATTCAGTTATTAAGCAAAATACACATTGTTTGAAAATAAAAATGGAGAGTCTATTTAAAATATGAAATATCCACTATAATAATGTTTGAAGTAATAAAAATGTCAGATTAAAAATAAATCCATGAATTCTTGAAAAAAAAATTTTCTTCATACCTGTAATTTGTTTATTTGCTATAAATTAAAGAAGCTGAATGAATATTCTTTAAGTGTGGTGATTCCATATTTTTGTCATGGGTTGTAATATGTAAGCATCTGTTAATTTATAATTCCATTACATACAAACATTTGTTTATTACTTACACTCATGCACAGATTGGCGCATTCAAAATGTGACTTATTTATAAATTTTTATTAGAAATTATTAGCAGTCAGCCACTTGGTACTTCATTACATGATATTTAAAAGCTATTTAGAGCTTTCATACTCAAATAATAGAAATGAAGGATTTGTATTTTACATTTTGTGAAATCTTTTATGAATCCAGGACATTTTCTAAGCTCACAAAATACTTTTTCATATCTTTCTTCAAGATTAAACAAAGCTGTAAGCATTGTAATTAGATTGATTATATCAAAATATTTCTAAATATTTATACTCAACCTCAAGGTTACCTAAATTTTGGCAAGGATTTATATAATCCTCTTTCTATAAAGAGCAGTCATATACTTTTAAATTTATTATTCAATAGAGCATTGTTAATTATTAATTTTTATGTAATATTTCTTTCTCTTTGGAAATTGTGATAAAAAGAAACAGAAAGAAGGTAAAAGAAATATTAACAAAAAATGAATAATAGTCAAATACTTTCCAACTAATAAAAATTTCCACCTATATTTCATGAGCCTTTCACTAAATTTCTTATTACACATTTTTGGTTATTTTTCTGATGATTTGTATTTCTGTTTATTATGAAATCTTAATAATAATTATAAACAGTTATTGATAATAATAAAAAATTAAAAGATATTTTATCTCAGGAGATGGTTTAAAAAAAAAAACTTAACTCTATTATACCCCCCCCCCCCCCCCAAAAAAGGATGGATTTTGTAGAATTGTTTTATTTTTACATTCTGTTTAATGTTACTGACTAAAATTAAACTATGAAAACTATTTTTCTGGGGGAAAATATTAAAAACTGTTAGGAATAATTCTGATACAAATCACTTTTGAAAGAGTAAGAAACAGAAGAGTCACTTTCAGTAAATGATAAAAAATGATTTCTATGTATTTTTTGCAAATGTGCCACAGTATGTTTAAGCAATGTGAAAGGTGATAGTGTAATTCAGATTCTTTCACTTTCAAAATAAATTACTGTCCATCAGGAATAACTTAGATGCATTTTTATTCTTCATTCTTAATTTTGCTGAAGAGTTTCAAACAAAAATTAAATTGATTTAATGTGAATCTGAAGTTATTATTTTCATATAGGCCTAACTTGAACTACCACAAAATATACATTAATCCTTAATCCTGAATGCAAATAATTTACTAAGATGTTTTTTAACAAGAAAAATTTGAATAATAATTTGATTTACTCTGCCCCCTCCCAATTTATCATATAGCGATGTATGTGTGCTTTTCATAGATTCATCCTATGATTAAACTATCACACTAGAATCCTGGAACTTCTATTTAGTAATATTTATTCAACAATTCAATTCATTAAAACAAAATCATGTCTATACCCAGAAGTTTCTAGAAGAGAATTTTAAAATTGCAATTATACAATTGCTTTATAGAAAGATTTTACAAGTCAGCAGAGATGAAACTGTGACATTGGGAAAGTTAAATATTCAACAGAAAATTACTCAGAGTGAAAATTTCCACACCTAATCTTGAAGGAACATAGATGACTGTATGACATGTAAGTGAAAAATAAATACTGACCAATTTAACAGAACTTAAAACAAAGAAACATCATAAATGAAACAAATAAAAACAAATTTGAAGAAATGACACATTTTCAATTCAGAGGAATGCTACATGTCCATATAAGCAGATTTTACTTTAAAATCTGGTTGAAGTGGGGTATTTGTCTGAAAGTTTGCAAGATATTCATGCCGATTTTTAATTGTTCCAGCACAGTAGAACATGTCAAATTTATTGACAGATATAATATGCTTACATTTCTGATTAGAGCACACCTATCTCTTGAGAAAGAAAGTTTAAAATTACTTAATTTATGCCAATTTCGTATCCTTATGAAAATGGAAGATTACAAGGTGTATTTTAGACACTTGCTTTTTTACTATAAATGCAAAAATGCCTTGCAAGAAACAAAAAAATATATGCTGCGTACAGTGAAGGTGCTTTAGTTGACAACTGTATGGAAATTGTTCGCTAAGTTTAGAGGTGGTGAGTGTAGCCTTATTAATGAAGAATGCTCAGGCAGACTTTCGCTACAGATGACGACCAAATCAAGACATTGATTGAGAATAACCCACATTACACAACATGGGAATTGGCAGAAATACTAAATTTATCAAAATCCACCATCCATGAGCACTTAGTGAAGCTTGGATACTCAAATCACTAAGATATTTAGGTACCACATGATCTGACTGAAAAGAATCTTTTGGATCACATTTCATCTGTGATTTTCTGTATACATGCAATGTAAAAGTTGATACTGCGGTCAATATACCATTTTTGAAGCAAATTGCGACAGGTGATGAGAAATGGATTGTTTACAACAATGTTCAGTAAAAAAGATCCTAGGGAAAGCAACATGAGTCAAAAGCAGGTCTTCATCCTAAGAAAGTCATGCTGTGCATTTGGTGGGATTGGAAAAGAATCCTGTACTATGAGTTTCTGCCAAGTAACCAGTCAATTCATTCTGAAAAGTACTGCTTGCAACTGGATGAATTAAAGGCAGCAATTCAAGAAAAATGCACAGAATTGGTGAAACAGGAAAGGTATTTTCCATCAGGATGATGCAAGACCTCATGTTTCTTTGGCAACCCAGCAAAAATTGTTGCAGCTTGGCTTGGATGTGTTACCCTACCTGCCATATTTGTCAGACATTGCTCCTTTGGATTTTGATTTATTCAGGTCCTTGCAAAATAATCTCAATGATTCTTTGGGTGATATAAAAAACACCTTAATGAGTTCTTTGCTGAGAAGCTACCAAAATTTTGGAAAGATGGAATCTAAGTTGAAGGAAAAATGGAGAAAGGTTGTGCAACAAAATGGTACATATATAGTTGAATAAATATTTAATGGCATAATTTTGTTTTGAGTTATAATTTCCCTTAAAAATTGGCATGGACTTTCCAAACAACCCAATAAATAGGCCAACAGGTAAGTAAAATAGCTAATTAATATATTCTTACCAAGAATTAAATGACCAATCCAAAAATGAATTTAGAGATAGTCACCTTGATACTTAAGAGAATTAGTTACAGGCCATGTGTTAGAAACTGAAAAGCTTTATAGACTTTTCTAAATATTCTAATATCAGTGGTAGTTTCTCTGTGAAGTATTGTGGGAGACAAGTTATACCTTGACTGGAGTCAGTGTATATTTTAAGATGTGAACTCCATGTAAAAAATAATTTTTTCCTCAAGAGATATTACATTCATCTGTTTTAATTCTCAGATCTATGAACAAAAACAACAAAAAATAAACCATATGAAAACTCAAATTCCCTTTCTGTTATAGCAATGTCAACCTGTTTGATTTAATTATTTCTTTTAGACATTGACCATGTTTTTGCCAAATAAGTATTAGGGTCAGGAGGGAAAAGATTATAAAATTGTTACAAGTACATGTAGGTGTCTGATATTCAGGTAATAGAGAGCAGATCAAAAAAATTTTTTCTTCAGATTTATTTTTTATTGATCACTTTATGAGTTTCAGCATTTTTCTATTTATAGATTAAGTTTAACTTTTTGGCTTTTACCACTATATTAAAATCATGTTTTTATCTTGGAACAAGAGTAATGAAAATCATTTTTCCTTCATCTTCTCTATCAAGTTAGGTAGTCAGGATTTTCTGACCAAGATTAATATAATATGAAAACAAATGCTAAAATCTGATTTATCAGCCAATTTAAACTTTAATCCATTTTTAGGTCAAGGGAAATATTTGCCACTTACCTTTTAAAATAATATATCAGATGTCAAAATGTGATTAATTGACCTGTTGCTAGGGAGTTAGCCTCAGAAAGAATGCACCTGGTTGTCAAAAGTTGATTGATGTGTACATTAAGAAATTCCATATAAACAACAAAAATATTTGGTTCTAAGTCATGGGACTGTTAGCCATGTGAATTAAGGGTTAGAGTGGTAATATCTTAAAAGAATCTTTTCTAATTGAGGATTCAAATAAGTCACAAGCTGATTTTTCTCCCTGAGAGAGAGGTTTTGCAGAATTAAAAGCATCCTGTGATGATGTGTATTAAAGAAAAAAAAGTAAAACCTAACTAGGTACATCCACTGATTTGCTAAAAAATGAGAATAATAAAAAGAGGAAAGTTCGAAGGATTTTTTGATTATTAAATTGTGATGCTACCCTGAGTCCCTGTCTTGTCCTATCCTGTCCTGTGCTGTGCTGGTCGCGGTGCTAATTGTGACGCCATCTGTCAGGCCTAGTCACGGCCACAAATTGTGACGCCTCTAACCCTAGGTTGACTGCAGCACCATCTGTGATGATCTAACCCTTAGCTGGTTCGGATGGAAATCTGGTTTACCACGGAACCATGTGTGACACTAACCCCTCTGGCTGTCTTGGTCACGTTCGATGTCTGGTTAGATTCGATATCAGCCTTGCAGTTCCCAGCTCACCTCCAACATCTGGTTACCGAAGTAACTGCTTTGATTTCTAGTCTAACCTACCCCCATTGTGATTTGATCTTAGGTAGATGAAATCAATCAGGCGT